CCTCAGTCCCTCCCCAGGGCCCCCTCAGCCCCCCTCAGCCCCCGGTCCCGACCGCCCAGCTCACCTATCACATCCTCCTCACATCCTCCTTGTGTCTTCTCCCAGGGACCCCCCCGCCATGTCCCCATGTCCCCTCTTCCAGGGCCCTGCAGTGCCCTCCCCAGTACCCCCATCCCACCCCGTCGCCCTTCAGCTCCGCACCCCAGGCAGGGCATCCCACCAGGCTGCTCTATCCCTCTGCTCAGCACCCCGGGGACCGGGATGGTGGGGGGCCAAGGGCAGGACCCTCCCTGACCCCTAGGTGTCCCGCCACTGGGGCCGGGGCCACCTTGAAGTGCCTTGCCTCCATGCTCCCTTTTGCTCCCAGATTCTTGCACCTGGGCTGCAATTTTTCCCCCCTTCCCTTCATCTGTTGATGGAAATGATTTACAACCGGCTTACACGGGCCGCCTGATCCGGGCCTTCGCTGGACGGTCAGATTAACCGAGGGTCCTTCTGATAAAGATAATTACAAGGGGACTCCGCATTAACTTTGCATTATTAAAGAAAGACCCAAATCTCCCCTCGCAAGCTGTTCCCGGGATTAGCAGAACAATAACTTTCATTTAGGATAATTGCCGTGGCCGGCGCTGGGGGCTGGCGGGGGGGGGACACCCTCTGGCCCATCACGCTTCGCACCAAGAAAGGCAAACGGGCCTCAGGGGAGCGGGCAGGGGTATGTGTGTGTGTCACTCTCCCGAAGCCACTTACTCATGTGCTCAGGATGCATGGGTGCTCAGGGCATCCCCACCCAGGGCCACCCCCCACCTGGGGACAGGGCACCCCAGGGCCCCCTTGAGCACCTTCACTTCTTCAGAGTGGTTTTGCTGCAGTTTTGCTGGAATTGGAGACTTTCACTGCTAGGCAGGGAGGATCTGCCACAGTAATTAGAAGCCATAATCCGGCCACCACCCACAACAAATTTCCTGTCCGAGCAGATATTAGTGGATAAAACCCTAATTTTTGACGTTGTCCCAGAATCAGCTTGATTTCAGCAGTTTATGTTCAGGCTGAGCTGTTGGGAGAGATGATGAAGCCTTAAATATGCATATGGCCTAGGCATTTGGAAAGTTTAGGGATAAAGTGCGTATAATTGCTCCTAATCAGTTTATGAAACATAAAAGCTCAAACCCAAGAGAAAGCCGATAGATGCAGAAATGGAAATAGCGATTAGATCTCCCCATGCTGGCGAGGTGGCCTGGATACGGTGCCGCTGCCCGGGGCGGAGGGCAGCCGTGGTGATGCCATGGGGGGACAGGGCTGTGGGACAGGGTGGGGGGACATGGCTGCTGCCACTGCTGGCTCCCCCGGCCGTGGTGGAGAGGGGCATCTCCACAGGTCCTTTGGACAATAAATCAGTTAAAGGATATCTTGATATATGCTCATCAGATAGGATTAGCTGGGATTAGACTAATCAGTAAATGTTTCTCTGCTCATTATTTTCAAGGGAAGATTTTCAGCTGATTCTCTGACGCTGAAAGATTATTAATCGCTTAAAGAGCAGAACATCAAACATCGCCCCTTGCTCTAATTTCCCTGGGGTTCCCCCCCCCCCGAGCAGAGAGCCTGTGCCAGCCAGCCTGGCAGCGCCGGGGTGCCCCAGCACCTAGCCCCTCCACGAGGGCTCCAGCCACGGTGGGTGGAGGGCACAGCACCCCGGCCCCAGTGCAGATCCATGTCTGCACCCACCCAGGGGTGGTTGCTGCCCGCAGCTGATGGTGGAGCACCCCCATGCCCTGCACTCTACTCCCCATGGCATTTTGCAGGACTGGGGGCACAGCGAGGTGGGACAGCCCCTGAGGTGTCCCCTCCTCCCTGTGGCTGCTCCAGCACCATGTCAGGCACCCACCGCACCCTGCAGCACCCTACGGGATGGCATCGTGATGGCACATGGATGGGATGGGTGCCTGGGGCTGTCCCTTTCAGACACCAGGGACAAGCCTTGCAAGTCCTTGGGGGATTACAGATACCTTCAACATTTTGGCAGACCCTACTTGGCCAATGATGGCTCCTGAGCCAGTGGCCGGTGGGTTTTTGGGGCCCCTGTCTTTGCAGGGACATGAAACTCAGGGAAACCCCTCTAGCGACAAGGAGGGGGAAGCAAAGAGAACGTATTGGTAGGGCCTGGTTTAGGGGATTAGTAATGGGATAAGACAGCTTTCACCTCCCTGGTTTAGATATGAATCAGGTCAATAATAAAGGACCATCTGACAGTTTCAGGCAGCTCAGGGTTGAGGAGGCTCCCATGCTTCAGGCTGGACAGAGAACCCCTCTCCAAAAGCCCAGCTCCTGCCATACACCCACCCGTTGGAGCCGCAACAGCAGTCACAGCCCGGTGCTCTCCGCATACTCCATGCCACGCACCTGCATCAGCTCCTGGCAACCCAGCGTGGGGGAGAGGTTGGAGTCTGGTCCCCAGGAATGATGTCAAAGCCACAGACCTTGGGTGCCTGCTCTGCAGGGCAAGCTCAGCTGGCTGGCTGGTGGCCATGGTGGACCTTGTGTGACTGTAAGGTGGCCCAGCAGTGGAGCGCAGCAGGGCGAGCAGCCAGCCGACAGCAACACAGGCAATTTGGCAAGGGTGGGAGCCTGGGGGGAAGGTCCCTGCCTCAGTAAGCATGGACAGAAAGAAAAAGGCTTTTCTTCCACCTCCTCCGTGTCCTACTGGGACAAGGGGAAGTGATGGCTGTTGTGAAAACGTTCCCTCTGACACATGGATGAAAAGGAACTGAGAAATAGCCCATCACTAGGGGAGAAGGCAGCAAAGAGTCACAGTGAGGCATATCCATATTTCGCAAGACTAAATCCCCACCTCTGAGTTACAGGTGGGCTTCCTCCTTGCGATGGGACTTGTCTCAGGCTGCAGCCAGGGCTGAGTGGTGGGTTATACGTGCACTCCTGGCCATTTAGGAGTAGATGGCCAAATATTCTGCTTTTTTGGGGGGGGGGTGGTTGTGGGGGGGGGGAGGGGTTTC